CCACTAATGAATGAGGAGTGAGGACACTAAAAGAAGTGTACTCCCGATGAATGAGAGTAAAGAGCGTATATCACCTGCAGCTATGCAGGACTCCATCTGAATAGGCCACATCCTATAGACTGCCCTCGACCAGCGGTCAACTTGGGCCCAACCATTAAGAAGTATGATGCCATCAAGAGAAGCATGATGACGCATGCAGGTCATTGGTCATCTGGGGTGCAGCAGCTGTGAATTGGGATGATGGCAACCGGGTAAACAGGTAGAGGGTGTGCCAGCAGAATATCATGGGTCCAAGAGATAAGATAGGTAGGTCTGGGGTTCCAAGGGATAAGGATAAGATAAGATAAGGAAAATAGGGGTGAAGTCATAATAAGATACATGGAACTATCAGTTCTGGCATATGTCTTTCAAGACTTCTTTCTTGGATTCACAGAGGCTTCTCGTAGACATGGCAACAAGTGAGTCTTCAGACAATGGGACTCAGGACAATGGAATGCAGGCTCATGGACTTCAGCCAAAACCCACTGCCCAAGTTCATGCCAGTGATATCTGTCATCTCATGTAAGGATTTCCCCAGATTTTCAGGTACAATGCATCATAGTTAGTGAGCTTGCTAAATATCATCAATCCTTATACAATCTGAGTTGGTTTCTCAGCTCCCATAACAGTGAGCTCTAGTCTTATCATGCAGCAACTGGGTTTATGGTGTGGCCTTCCTGTCAAGCATGTCCATCAGGTACAATGCTATGGCGAAGTCCTGTTAATGTTCTCATGCTTCTTATGATACCACTAGTTATCATCTCCATATATTGCATAGTTTCAGTGTCAATGTGTCCATTTAGCCTGCTTGCTCACTGTATCTCAGTATGCATGTATAATGTGTCAGATTGCAAAATTACATGCGTAAACAGGCTGCAGGTGCAACAGCATTGCCAGGGTTCCCTGGTGTTTCTTCTTCTCTGATGTCCAGCTGGTCAGATTCGCTCAAAAGATTCCGTGCTTCTGGTAATGATCCAGTTCCAGTTTCAGATAATTTGGGCCCACTCTTCGACCCTTCTGATGACCTGCTGGAAGTCAGGCCTTCGGGGATGATCCCAGACAAAGGGTGTGATGAAGGGTATTGGGGTGGCAAGGGGGTGTTCTGGGGTGAGGGGATAGATGACAAATGGTGTGACCAAGGACAGAGGTTCAATGCCTTTGACCATGAGCTGGGTATCAGTGAAGTCCTGTACTTGGTGTCAGCATCGTAGGTGGGTCTGCAGCTGTCAAGCTCAGTGGTGACTGCTTCTGCTCTGTTGTTAACAAGAACAAAGATGTTCTGTCCCCTGGTTGGTGCAAAGTGTGAGCTGAGCTCAGAGAGGGTTGGAGTACAGTTTCTGGCTTGATAATGCCAGTGCCAGGTTCCTCCCCTAGAGTTGAGTCGAGGTGGGGACCAGTCACTGAGGGGTCCTGAGAGTCCTCTTGGAAGTCCCGTGTACCAGCCCTCACCAGTTGGCTCTTCCTCCAAACTTTCTCCCTCCTCAGTTCTACTGCTTCCTTCTCCATTTCCATCCTCGCTTCTCTCTCCCAGATGATATCTAAGTCCTCTTTGATAGAGGCAGTTGCTGTTGGAATTGTATCCAGGGAGGGCAGCAGAGTTCTCAGTTGAGGTGGGGGAAGGGCTTTCCCTTTCCCTTTGGTGCTTGTTGTGTTCTGGCTCTTCTTTGAACACAGTGACTGAGCTTTCTGGTGTGGCCCATCCTCCCACGTCAGACTCTTTGCTGTCAGAGAGGATAATTCAGATGGGGAATTCATCGCTAGTGATGGATTCTCCAGAGTAGGAGGGCAGAGTGTGTCTCTTTCGAGCTCGTGTACTCACCTTTGCAGGGAAGGGGTCAGTTCTTGTTGTCAGCGGTCTTCATATTCATACAGGAATGTGAGGTAGGCTAAGGCTATAAAGCCTTGTAGCCTGATGAAATTGGTGATGGTTTGTTTGATAGGGTTCATTTGTTTGTCTTCATCAACATACTACATCAATGAAGAGTTGTGGAAGTCTTGAACTAATTGTTAGCAACTGATTACACAAACAACATCAAACAACATCATGTGACTCGCACTTTGGTCAGGCATGGATGTAGTTCACAGGTATGTGTGCAGGGAGCATGCACAGTTAGTTGTAGAGAGTGAGTTCAGACTAGTTATTGGGTGAATAAACTTTAGTTCGAGACTGAGGTTTAGGACCTGCAGTCAAGATACTTATATACAAGTTTGGTACACTAATAATAGGTACAAGAGTCTGCAGCAGTGTGGTTAACATGTGGTTATGATAAGGGTTCATGTGATCAGGGTCAGACAATTAGTACAAGTTGCTTATGATGAGGCCAGATAAGATAAGATAGAGGTAAAATCGTAATATCTATGGCATCGGTAAGATTGGGTGTAATGAACAGCAACTGCTCCTATCAAGAGGATGAAGGAGCCAAAGGTGTTGAGAAAGATTGTGGTGTTTCTTTTGTTAGGGCTAAGCAGTATAAAGCTCATCATATAACAATGAGTATTTATGAGGCTCTGAATAATGCAGTTACCATTGTAAAACAACGGTAGAATGATGGTAAGGGCAAGTGGTACAAGCTTCGACTAAATGTAGTGCACCAACTTGAAACAGCACAAGGCATAAGTCCAATGTGTCACTCACATTTGGTGATTCACAGGGTGGACAGCATTGTGAGTTCTTGTGGATGGTGATGGACAAGTTAGTCATGAACCATGTTACAATTTTTCCATTTTCTTTCAGCGCTTGTCTTTATCTTATTAGTACATCCAAGTGCTGGGACAGTTCACATGTTGTCAATGCTCGACCTTTGCATTGTTGCTGTGACACACAGACATTGCATGATTCTCTTTGTTTCATGCATGGTTATAGAACAACAGTAGTCTATTATTAGCATACTCGACATGTATTTAAGTAGAGCCTCAGCTGGCCTAAACCCCAGCTTCAGCTAAGGTTTAATCTACCCAACTCAAAGCTCCTCGCTCCATGACTATCTAAGTCTAGTTACCTGCTCATAAGACCAGCATAGCTTGCATTGTGAATGACCCACCAAAGTGCAAGTGGCATTTCTTTGTTTGACTTTATTTGTTGAGTTGGTGGCTAACATTTAGCTGAAGCTTGATCTTTACGTCCCTCATCATCTAACCATGGTGACCAACGTGTATGTCCTTACTGTCCCTCAACCAAACTATCTCAATTGCAATAGCCTTCGGGCTTTTCTGTGCAGGCACCCTGTTGTACTGGATTGGTAGGATCTTTTCCTGCTGCTGATGCAGAGAGCGTTGTTGCGACTGCAGCCTATTTATGTGTGTAATTTTGCAATCTGAAGTGTTTTACACACATACTGAGATATAGTGAGCAAGCGGACTAAAACTACATGTCGACACTAATGCTACGCAGTGCAATGATATGGAATATAACTTATGGCATAAGAAGCAACGGGATTCTAAACAGGACTTAGTCACAGCACTGTACCTGATGGGCATGCATGATGAGAAGGCTAAACCCTATACCCAATGCCTTAGGCTTTAACTTACAAGCATGCTCAGTGGGAGCTAGATAAAATCTTGAAGATTGCAGTGACACTGAGAGTACTTAGTGTGCTTGCTAACGGTGATGCGTCGTACCTGAAAATCCAGGGAAATCCTTAAGTGAGATGACAGATATCACTGGCACGAACTTGGGCAATGGGCTTCAGCCGAAGTCCACTGAGCCCACGTCCCATTGTTCTGAGTCCCATTGTTAGAAGACTCACTTGTTGCCATGTCTACGAGAAGCCTCTGTGAATCCAAGAAAGAAGTCTTGAATGACATATGCCAGGACTGATAGTTCTGGGTGCCTAGACCTATTGGTCGCTAGAGAACAAGCCCACAGGTGTCAGGAGAGCACCTCTTGGCACACGTTTAGCAAGCTCACTATAGAAATGAGACTAAAATTGGGAAGTCCGACTCGGATGCTCAGTAAGGTGGCAGTGGCAACGTGCTACGCATGTAGGAGTCTGGGTACTGCGTGATGTTTGTAATTCTAATTCCCCTGTAGTATAAGTAGGCTGGTTACAGTAGGTAGAGGCAGAGTTTCAAGCCCCCGAGTTCCCATGCACGCATTGAAGGTGGTACTGTAACAAAGGATCAGTTTGTGACTTTGAGCTGTGCATAGAATTAGCAAGCTCACTCAGAGAAATATGAGATACCCTTTTGATAAGACTTTTGAGAACTTAGTCAGAGTGAATACGAATCAGTGATGCTGTTTCTGTTCTGTTAAGTGTGATAAGTCTGTTCGGAGAATGTGTTGAAGTGGAAATCTGAGATCTGATCTGATCTGATCTGATTCTGTTCTGTTTCAGTCTGATCCGTGTCAGTTCTGTTCGAAGTTCCGTTTCTGAATCTGTTTCCAAACGCTTCTGAAGTGTTCTTGAGTCGAGATAACCTGCTGGAGTTAGTCGGAGAACCCCTACATACAGTTGTGTAGCGAGCAGGCTAAGTTAGTGCTTGCCTGTGGTGTTCTTTTAGCAAGCTCACTAAAGTTTCAGCGTGTATTGCCTCTGTTTCTGTCAGGATCAGTGTCCCTTGTATATTATAACTCAAATCTGCCTTGAAGGTTGCGTCGCGCTAGTGAACGACCTTCCTGTAAAAAGTTCCTAGACTTAGGAATTCATTAGAGAAAGCTTAGCTTTCGCTAAGAGCACTGAGAATAAGAGAAACTCTTCGAGATATTGAAGTATAGTTGGATCGCATTAGAAATAATTGCTCCCCCTAGAACTTATGAGGGTGATTGTAGTTTGTGTAGTTGTGTGAGTGTGTGTGTGGGTTTTTGAGGTTCGCCTTTTAGCCCGCTCACTATTCCACAGGTGCCCACAGCCAGCCTCATCAGTGTGCATGACTCCCATTACAACCAGTCCTCCACTTACCCATTCCATACTACATACATCCATACCCCTACATTCTAGCTCCACCACAACCAATTTTACATGATGGCAGACCCATCAGACCCATCCCATCCCAATACTCCAGTCGATCAGGATCCGTCAACATCGCGGAGTCCCTATCAGGATCAAACCACTCAAGCGCAGGATTCACGCCTTTCTCTCGCCAGCCAGAACTCCCAGTCAAGTCAGAGCCAGAAGAAGAAAGGGATTTTGCAGAGTATATCCAACAGGGCAGAACAATCAATGACCTTGTTCTGTCGTCATTCACAGAAATGACCCCTGACCCCCATACCAGAAGCTTCTACCTCTCAGCTCTCCAGGCATACAAAGAAGTCCTCAATGGAGGCCGCAATGGTGGAGACTCAGATGGAGGATCTTACCATCCTAGGTCCCCATCCCCAGCATCCTCCTCAACAGTATGAGCCTGGTCCACTGGATGGAGAGTGGTATTGAGCCACAGTGTCATTCACGAGGGAGATGGATACCAGGTATTCTGAATCCCAGAAGAAGGAGCTCGCCAAGTACCCCCAACGGCTGAGGCCACTTCCCCTGAGCCCTACTTGTGCCCCAGTACCCCTGTCTCTGAAGAAGAGCGATGACAGGCTGTCTGGGACTGGATCGAGGCCAATGATGACCCCTTACCACTCCCTGACTACCCCTGACACCACCAAGGGGTCCCTGCATACTCACCTTACGCCGGTCCCCTTAGACCAGATTCACTGACCCTCAGAGAACCTGAGCAAGCTTTTGTCACCGAGAACTGACAAATCACAGAAGCCCACCCCCATCGTCCCATTCGAGTGACCTTGGACATGGGTCCATCTCACGCTCATCGAGTTGGGCCTCGACATTCAGTCTGCCCAGCTCCCCCCAGAAATCAAGGCCCATTTGGAGGCCAGACGAGAAGCAGCAGCACTCTCAAGAAGAGTGGAGGAGTACAAGTGAAATCGGTGGCCCCATGAGTTTGATGGAAGTGCCGTACTTGATGAGCGAACCAAGTCCCACTTGGGTCGCAGACTCCAATCACCCCAGGGTGAACTTCATTCAACAATGATATAGCATCGCAGAACCCAAAGTGGTCTTGGCCCACCGAGGTGTCCAAACCACAGACATCACAGGAGTACCAGTACTCGACGACGACGAGGCCAGAAGGTACATGGCAGCCTACTCCAGGCCCCTCCTCGACAATCTCTATGCTGATGAAGCTGCCCGTTGATGTGCTCGGTAATGGCGAGTAACAAAAGGCTAGTGAATGGATATGAACACCACAACACCAAAACCCTCTACTACTCTATACTAATCACCAATATTATTGAGTTCAGGTGTTTCGAGTACGATAGAAGCACTCTGCAGACTTCAACAAATCAGGGAAAGGTTGTTTAAAGATGTATATTTGGTACTAGTGAGCTACACAAGATGTAATACTCATGCTAGCGGGGTTTTAAGACACGATTGGATGAATAGTGACTTGGGTTGAGCAACTGCGCCCGGTCTAACTCTGATACTTCGAAACTAGCGGCACCCTAGGCTCGACTAGTGGCACTCTTGGCCTAAGAACAAATACTTTAACTCTGAGAAAATACTTTAACTAACTTCGAAATGCTCTGAGTCACTCCAAGACGGAATAGTAACTTTAAGACACTTCAATTCGTTCAATACTATCGGTGACTAAGCGACTAGTAGACACTTCGTCGAGGTTAAGCACAAAAGCCTTTAATTGGGGCACTAGAATACTGACTAGTAGGTCACAATCATGGGGATGGCTTGCCTGCCTGTGAGGCTGCCCCTTCTACTACTTATATACTACAGAGACAGGTACAGAATAAATATAAATAGATTCTTTAGGGGTAATATTGGTAAGGATATCTTGGCTAGTCACGAATTATGGTGAATAATCATGCAATAGTTGGCCTAGCCTGTTCTTTCTGTCAGATAGCGGGTCGAGGGACTCCGCTATTGGGTCATTTCTGCACCTTTTGCCCAGCGGTGCTCCATTAGTGACACGGCTATACGAATAGTCGGGTAACCATGCCTGTAGCAACTGCTCGATTGTGATCAGGGCGCAGCCCGGCTATACTAGTGCCGATCGTATGAGATCTGTATCACACTAGCCAGATCTGGGCTAAGGGTTATGCCTTTACTGGTTCATTTCTAAGTCCTTTCAGAAGTGCTCGCGTGACTAGTCATCCTGACTTAGGTGTTCATGCCCAGATCGGTCCACTAGTGACTGAATAGTCGAGATCTGTGTGGGTTCTTACTTCTTGTTTGGGCGCTAGCAGCTGTATTCTTTACTAGTGACCATATTTTACTAAGTCATACTAGCTTTGGAGGTGCTAGTCCGGTTGGCTGGTAGGGCTGACCCACTAGTGGTATCATTCCTAAGTCCTGACTTGACTAGTAGCATGCTAACTTGACTATCAGTCCGAAGTCTCAACTATAGCCCTTGATATACGACTAGTATAGGATAGACCTGCAACAGTATTGTTATAAAATTGCAAAATCTAGGTGTGAACGTGTAGACGGCATATCAGCGAACCCATAGTATCATAAGTCGGAGAGAATGTAAAAGACTGGATTCCAAAAAGGAAGCAAAGTCACAGGAAAATGATGAATGATATGAAAAATTCCCATGAAGAGGTCAGGTAGAATGTGGCAGCAAACGCTGTGTTGGACGATCAAAAATCGGATCCCAGGATGGTATAAAGACCAAAGAAACCTATATTCATAGGACTCGGAATAATCTGCTGAAGTTATCCGGCATTTGTCTAGGTTCCAGAAAATACTGATCACAGGAAAACAAACACGCATGCAGTTTTGCTGTGAGAAAGGTCTGGTAGCTGGACACACAGCTGGTCCATAGTTCAATTTTCAGCCCTCATTCAAGCACTTGGCTGGACAGGGCCAAATCCGCATTTGAAACTCCTCCAAGCTTGGAGGTGAAGCTAAAAAAGACAACCATATCAAAAGTGCTGATCCCAGGCCTGTTAATCAAAAACCACAATCTAGGAATGCAGTGTTTGATGGAACAACCATTGCGGGTGGACTTTGGGTTCAATGCTAGCGCTGAGCAGTGACAAGAATTTCTTGTTATCAAGCAGTGACCCATGGATGTTTTCTACAATGAGTCAGAGTCACTAGTTACTATCTGAGAAGACTGCTGTCATGACTTCAATTTGATATCTCACCTTCAAAACCTTGGAAGACTAGGTAGGTTAAACCCATCTCTGGAGTAACCAGGGAGTTACTCTGGTACCAGGAACATTGCTTGTCATGTTTGCAGTAGTCTTGTACTCACCCATTTCATAAGATCTTGCCCTCCTCACTGCGTCCGGAGAGATCAGACCATGTCACATGAGCGGAGTTACAAAAGGGAGGGCAGAGATCTCACTGAAACATCTGGGGCATTTGGGCTCAATATCACCCCTCCTCCTATGTTTTCAAACAATGATGCCATAATATAACTATATTTAGACCACTTTTTGTAGTGCAATAGCACTCCCTTCGTCTAATGGCCAGTCGAACCTTCCGAGAATGGACTTCACTGATCTACAATGTTGACGGTGATCCAGACAGGCATTCAGAATCTGATTCCAAACCCGAAGGTTCACTTTCTCAATCCCTCGGAAGACCATGCCCAAGGAGGGAATCAATCAGCCAAAGCAGAGGAAACTGCAATTGCCGAGCAGGTCTTACCAGTCCTGTCGTTTATGAAGATTGTCGGGCTTAGTTGCCTGAGTTTCTGGATGCACTCAGCTAGCAAAAAATGAACCAAGATGCCGGATGGCAAGAGAGGATGCTGGTGACGACGTCAACGATCGCGGTACGCGTATGACAAAGATGAAATCATAGTAAAATTTGAAAATAATAGAAGGAGGGGTGAACTCGAGCCCAAATGCCCCAGACGTTCTGGCATGAGTCCTGCACCAAATTTTCAACTCCGCCGCACGTGGCAACTAACACGTGGTCACGCGAGAACGGATGGGGACGAGACTATGTTCGCAGTAATCACCGCGACATTGCCGCGAACCTTCAAACTACAAATTCATTTACAACAATGCTCCCGATGGAATGGCTGGGATGGAAACGACAGGTCCAGCTGATAGATCAACGATTTCTAGGCGATCGTTGTAGGGTTTCAGTGCGTGCTGAAGCTTGAAGGCACGTCCAGACCTTCAGTGTTTGAAACCTATCCGGTTGTGGTTCCTCCGAGAGTGGCGTATCAGCCTCGCTAAAGAAGAGAAAGTGAAATCAGAAAGGCCTATCGGTGCTGGCTAGTTATGACATCGTTCATGGCAACCAGTGCGGAAATCTCAGTTTACATGTACTCACTGCAAACTCACTGTCAATTTAACATTGGCTTCGCAAGTCCGACGCTACGCACCAATTTTCCAGAAAATTAATGCCTAAAAATAAACTAGGTATATAATTAGCAAACCGGCCTTTAATCGTCCTCACAGTCGCTCGCAGCCTTATTCCAACCGGCCTTCACCAATTCTGCCTCCCACGGAGAACTAACTTCGCCGGGTGCTGGCGGAACAAAGGTCCCGCAACAATCTAAAATAAATTCACAGAGTAACCGGTTAACACTGAAAAAGAAAAAAGAAAAAAAACACTCTCAGCCATCACCCTGGTATCCCGAAACAATTCTACTCACCTCACCATGCGTTACAACACCAAAGTGCGGAGCATCTGGTATCGTGGCCAGGCTGACGGTGACTGCAGCGTCTGTCAGCTGCTGCATGAATTTTTCTGTGTATTCTTGAGGGTACGCGATATCCCCTAGGCAATGGACCAATTTGACAGGGACGCGTATCCGGGAAAGTTCTTCGGTGGTATACTCCCTTCGATTGTTCAGAAAATCAACCGTGGCTCTCTCGAGTTGATCAAAGTTCGCGGGAGTGACCTTTTTCAAGGCCAAAGGCATTGTGATAGCAGCAAGCCTATTGAAACAACAGTTAGTCACAGTGGAATAGGAAGCACCGTTGTACGCACGCGCTCGATAAACTATCGAGCTTATTGCTAAAACCCAGTTGCAGGACACCGTAGGCCGCGTCAGACAGGACCTCCATGTCTGGCTCGCCTGTCTTGAATCCCTCCTTCCAATGCTTGACTATTTCCCGCCGACCGTCGGCTACATCTGCCGGCTACGTACAGTATTAGTCTCAACTTGGGCCTAAACACGTCAAAACGCGCACTTCCTCCAGTCCCAGCGGCGACACAAGGAAGAGCGATGCAACTTTATCTGGGTAGTAGACAGCGAGACCCATCGCCACGATACTGCCCTTCGACAGGGCTACAACGTGGCAGGCGGGTAAATCGATCTCGTCCTGCATATCGCTATTCAGTTACGTACTTCTCATTGAACAGACGAGTCAATCACCATGAATAATGCGAGGTCTTCAGCTGCCTCCTTGGCACCGTAACCCTTGGGGAGCGCATCGCCTGTCGTCCGACCATGTATTCTGAGATCCAATGCGACGCAGTTAAATCTTCTTATCTGCGGATCCTCGAATTGTCCTAGAGCGAAGGTCAACTCAACCGCTGGATGTTACGAAGAGGCAATAGCGACTAACGTTGGAAGATTTGCGGTCCGTGGAAGACTGCGTGTATGAACAGCAGTGTTGGTAGACTTCTGTCGATAGACTTGGCTGACGAAGACAAGGGTGTCGATATCGTGTAGTTGAAATTTGTCTTTCCCGTGCTCGACTTGACGGTGGCCGTGGACATCGTGATTCGTGATAGATAGAAGCTGCAAGGATAGGGAGAGCAGAGGAAGAGAAATATCCCCTAAATTAGGTTGCGGCCCGTTTCATCCGCATTACAAGATACCGCACAGTCAACGAAGAAAGAGTATTTCCAATGTTTACAGTTACCGAGATCATCTCCGATCTCAAAGCGCGAGCGAGATTAGCTTCTTTAAAGGTCAACAGGAGTGGCTGTAATCCCTCCGAGTAATGGCCGATTGAATCTACGCAGAAAGGATGGAGGCTTGCAACGAGGCAGCGGAGAAAACTGTGCGCTGACTCTTAGGAAGGGCCGATCAAAAGCCCTAGCCACTCAAGGCTGTGGAAGATTTCGAAGTCGTTAGGGCCTCAGCCCATGCAGACACCCACACCCTCGCGGTGTATTCGTAATTGTGATTTCGGCACCTTGGCAAACTGGGGTAAATTCGGTAATCATCATTTTATAATATTAAATCAGTCAGAACCTAACCTGTCCTTCGGCAGTAGGTCCTTGATCATCTACTAGGGAGAAGCCCGGGAGGCGCGACGTCACCTCGATTGTTTCAACATGTGGCGGCGTTACCTCTTTGTGAATTGAGAATATTTCTGTCAGCCTAAACGGACACGTATCTAGATTCCATAGAACGCTTCGAGCTGAAAAAGTGCAGTACGTCAATGGGATAACAATGTCAGAATTTCGGATAAACAACAAACTTCGTGTATCCATTACTCAGCGATTCGAACCGGAATTGACGTGAAGGGTAGGATTTCGTTGGCTGAGAAATGATAATCATCTGTAGCGCGTACGTGTGAATGAGTACGTGAGGTCACATCGCGTGTACGAAACACTCTTACAAACGGTGTCCGGCATTCTCCGTCTTCCGCGAACCACGAGAAAACGTAAATTATCGTGTCCTTAGAACCTCTCTCTCCTTCTCCGGCTCCAACTCAGCCTTCCCAGTAAGCATATTCCTCGTATACAGTGATCGCATTGAAGATTGGCAGAAAGGGGGGGAAAACCCGAATATTGCATCCAAGAAAGGGGAAATACTGGACCATCTTAGCGGTATGCATGAGCACGCACCTAAAGAAGGGATTCGGTTTTAGTATGGCAGCAAAGCCAAAGATAATGACACACTTGAATGATTTTGGACAACGAGGGTATGCAGAATGGTGATAATCCGAGGTGCTTAAGGCCGGCAGAGGATTGTATGGCAATCCAATGCAGTCCTCCGTTGGAGGAGTCCAAGCTGGAGTTGAGCCATAACATAAGACCTCACGTCGTCTATAATGGTAATGAGTCCTGCGGGATATATTCAGGGGATATCGCTGTCACGTCTCCTCCTGTCGCTTGGCAAGAGCTAGTTACCGTTGTTGCTACTGAATGAGGGGGATTTCGTCGACAGAAAAGAGAGTTGACTTGAACAAGACTGCTCCGGTATAACTGAAACGAGAATAGGAGAAGCGAGAGACCAGGGATCCTCGTGTAACGACGTAATATCGAGGATAAGACGGCGTTCGATATCTGAGAAACAGATCTATTCCCTCAAAACTTTCCCCTCTTCTGACTGGCAGACGTAGACAGAACGAGAAGTTTGTGGTGCACCAATCATTGTACCTGTGTCAGCAGTGGGATTCGTTGCTTGTGATGACGATTTGGCACGACCACATTTCTTGGGCTAGATGCGGAAGAAGAGGTAACACTGAGTTAGCGCTAACACACGCGCCGAGTGCTGACTTCATGGGGAAATCTACAGCTTTCGGCCCGTTTTCGAGAAAAGAGAAGGCACCGCGAACAACAGTTCGAAGTCTAAGATAAGCGCATCGTATGCTGGTCATAAGCGAATATTAGGGTCCAGAAGAAAACAATGCAAAGGATGCATAGCTTACAAATTTCGGTTCATGCAATCACCGCCCACGCTCCTCCCGGAGTATAAAATGTGCAAATCACAGTGCAGGAAAAACACAGCTCTCTCCCCACAAAAGAGTCACCCTGGCTTGAATTGCTTGTGCATTTTCTCAAAGGTCCTCTTCGAAAGGCGTAAAATGTTCAATTATTGCGTCGGGCAATGTGAGTTGGAAGGACATTTCCTCGGTGATGTGCAGAGAAGAGGTAAGCATTGGCGAGATAGACTGCCATGGCGGACGCTAGAGTGATCTTGGATATCGGAGATGAAGTGAAGCAGTAATATGCCACAAGGTTGTCCTCGCTTCCTTCAAGCTACCCGTTCGTCTTCCCAAGGTCCTCTTTTGCCTTTGCCAGCGGCTTGCCGCTCTGAGGAGCCTCAATCCCAGCCAGCTTCGCTCTCGTGGCCATCGTGCAGTCTTGAACACATGCGAGAAGAAAAGAGGAAGAGATATGAACGCCGATTATTGCACTAAAGGAGAGCTATCGTTTCCGTGGACAAGTATGGAACGAGCGTGCTGCATAGAGATAGACCAGGAGGCGACGGCACTGGTGAAGTGGTCTTGTGTGATGGCGATGGTGTATCGATGGATCCTCCGTCATCTCCCCTATTATTTTTAGCGATGACAGTCTTCATATCTGCCAAACACCGTTCCTAGGAAGTCGGCCGCTTTGGATCAGTTGTAGTGCAAAGTTTGCCGCAAATGGGGAAAATCACATTCAGTCTGGTACTAGACAGAATGGCATCGCTTGGGCGGAGCTTGTGTAATTTGTTCTTTGGGCCTTGAGAAAACGGCCTCAATGTGGATACGTAGCACTTTCTAGTGACTGGTATGGTATTGACGGCCATGTCGAATCGCATCGGGAAATCGAAAAGGGGGTGATATAAGACGGTAAAATGGAGCAAGTCGAGTGGTGAATTATGGAAACGGCACGAAAGACTGGTCGCGTTGGTCAGGCATCTTTTCCAGGTCGTCGTCTCCTCTGAAGGTCGCCAGAAAAGCGCTCTCAGAGCCTGCCGCACTCTACATGCTAGTTTCAACTTAGATTCGTCGTCTGCAAGGTGAAAAAATAGTTACGCACCCATCCCTGCTTCCAGGACCTGCATGTATGCGCTATATGAGGTGTAAGATCCGTTCACACCGACATCTAGCGAAACCCAATTGTGACAGTCGAAAATATCGTTGGTCCAGAGAACAATGGTCTATTGCCTATATCGTCTGTGAGATTCGTCCTGCAGAGCGAAAGATAGCGCACCGAATTTGACGCACATTTCGGAGTGCCCAACTTGGCAAATAATCCTACGACCGTCAACCAACACAGAAAAGGCGAGGTGATATGAACGCCGAACGGTTTGAATTCAGGGAGAGAGAAGAAAACGATGTAGCACAGTCATAGCGGTTGATGATCAAGAACGGAATCAGTTTTGCACGTGCCTCGAATTCGGGATGGGCGGGTCGGTCTGATCTGAAAGCCTCCCCGGCCACAGAAGTCTTCAAAGTTCAATCTATGTAAAAATTATTATTGAAGTATAAAGCATCCAAGCCTGAGCAATCACCTAATGAAACGGGTGCTCCTGGATAGGGATGTGCACCGTATCCGTACTACGGTGGGTACGTACGGTGGATACGGATACGGGCCCGTACCGTGGCCACCTTCGACGACCCAAAATACGGCCGTATTCATACGGTTAAAATACGGTCATCGAGGGAGTGGCTAGGGATAGTCTAATACCATTGAAGTGAGTATGGATGATCTTAATGAAGTATATAACACTCATGTCTTGACTCCAGATATTCGTCGTCGCTGTAAATCTGTCCGTATACGGACAACGGTACGGACACGGTACGGATTTGAAGTCAACCGTACCGTACCGTGAACAAGAATTTTGATACGGTCTACGGCCGTATTGTTACGGCCGTATCCGTAACGGTACGGTGCACATCCCTAGTGCTCCAACTGGCTCTAAAAAATATCAGATGGATCCTGTCGGAATCGAACCAAAATCGATAAAAGAAAATGAGCAGCTTCACTGAAGTAATGATAATGCAAGCGCCCTTATATAAAATATGCGCTCTTACACATTCCTTTGTTTCATAATTTCTCGAATCACCACATTGAGGCTCTGACGAACGACGTCAACAATGTTATCTTGATTTCATACGATACAGCGCTTATCGGAAATTACGCATATCTACTACATGGGCACAAATTTCGTCCAGATAGACCGTTTTTTTGTTTTACCATGAAATTCAGGCAGCACTTTGGCAGCACCCTGGCACTGAGGTTGTCGACAAAAGCGGAATACGCCTTGATGAAATCCAGGCATCTGGTAAAGTAGAAAATGTACACCCCGATGAGAGATACGCCACTCCAAGAACTGAGGAATCAGTTTGTCCGACCATCTGTCGGGGCTTGTAGGGAAGTGGGCCATATATCGATCCCGAGAAAGATGGGGCAGATGATATGACAAAAGTGTTGAAGGATGCAGCCTAGAAGCGGTGACGGTCCATATCTTTTGTTGTTATCGGAAACGGATATGGCCTCGACGCTGGCCAGTCGCAATGATCTTTCGTTCTATAGTTTTTCTTGTACTGTCCTTTCCCTCGCATCGCGAGGCTATGAATCCACGTGGGACGTTTCGATTGCAGCGGAGAAATCATACATTGGTCGTAAAGTGAGTGTAGGATCTTTAGGCCATGGTTACAGCTGATAGACAGAGCACGAGCGTCGATTGTCCCGAATGCAGCGAAGACTCTGAAAGGGAGACCAAGACTCGGACCTGTTAACGGCAAGAATATTAAGCCTGTTCTCTCTTCCGAATAAAGCGAATGACCCAGTGCGCGTGAATCCGGTTTGCCACCGCAGTAAATGTGATATGCATTCTGGTGCGAACCGTAGACTGTAGAAACAGGCGGTACATTGAAAATACAGCTTGGGGTGACAGCTAAACGGACAACTAGGAACGAATCAACACGGATGACGAGTGGCAGGCCATATCATTTGCTGCAATGTAGGAGTCCCAGGATACGTTGATGCCGTTTTTGGACCCACATCCCTTCTGAGATCTGATCATCGGCCATCATGCAAGAATAAAA